GAATTTTCATCCGCTGCTTTGAAGGAAGAATTGGATTTGTAGTACTAATTAACCTTAGCCACTGACTATTGGAGTGCATTATTGAACTTTAAATGCTTTGTGGACCTGACCCACTGGAAATTTTTTGGATCTAACAAGAAATATTTTGTTTGTTTGTTTATTATCTTGATTCTCGTGCTGTGATGAATGTCATGTTGTGAGGGGCTATAAATATTTAATGAATGAGGTTTATAAAGATGATCATTAAAGTGGAGAGAGAAAAGCAGTGAAAGCGGATGAGGGTTGAAATTTAAACGGCGTACATGTAAAGGTCAAAAGGATGCTACTCTACGATGAAACCCTTCACTTGCACATCCCGATTGACCCAGACTTTTGGCCATTGACTCCTCATGTGCGTTGACCCTCTACACTACGTCGTTTTGAGTTTCATGGCCCCACCTTCCAAATGAAGTGTTGCAATTGCTTTTGTTTTTGGACCTACCAATTATCATTATTCAAATCATACCTGCTATCTTTTCTCCGATAAGATGAGATCAAATGATTTAGATGGAATTTCAAACAGTAGTTTTTCTTTTTTAAGTTAGAAATTAAAAGTGTTTTATTTTTTATTTTGGATTTTTTAAAGAAATATAAATTAATCATGAACAGGCTCCATGAGAAATAATATCCTATGATCGATTATTATTTAGGATAATAAAATATCAATTCGTTCTCCATCTCTTGCCAATTTCTTAAAAGTTTTTTGCCTGGAGCTAGGATGTTCGTCAAGTAATATGGTCTCCATATACAAATGCGAGAGAGTAAAGGACTCATTCGGAGATGTGTTTCACATATTTTATTTTTTTAAATATATATAACAAATAAAGAGAAGGAAGACAAAAAAAATATTAAACTCGATTTTAAATCAAAACCTTTTATCCTCGGAAAAATAGCATGAAATTTTCATTTTAAAAAGTTAAGTAATTAATTTTATTGCTCAGGGAGCTACAATTGATCAACATATATAATCTCAAGAAAGAAAAAACAGGGGAAGAACGATAAAGAGCAAAAACAGTTTGATGGATGAAGGAGAGCGATGTTTAGTATTGATTTCCAACAATCCAGAATCGTGGCGGCGAAACATCTGCCAGACAATAAATCATTTAAAAATGAATCTAATTTGACCAGCTAGCAATATTGAGTGGATGAATAAGCACATAAACGTTAATTCAATAATTATTTATTTCATGTATGAAAATTTATTATATTAATCAAGCCACAACAAATGCAATACATTCATGTGAGTATACAAATAAACCAAACAAAAACAACTACATCTTACCAAAAGAAAAATAATTAGCCAAGAAACCACCAAACTAGTTTAGCTGAACTACTTTTCTTATCCAATTTAGAAATTAAGGCAAGACGAAAAAAATAGCATGGTTATGATGAAAACACAATGCAGCCTTTAATTTGTTTTTGGGATGAAATTTCAACATCAGAATAGAATGACATAGCACGTGTAATTAATGGAAGCAGCGAGATTAATTAGCGAAGAGGTTGATTAATTTTGTGGAGCATACGGAGGAGTTGAAATAGTGAGCGAGAAGAAGAGGGGAATGTTGGTGAGAGAGGATTAATTAATTAATGGAAAAAAGTAAGGGGGTGTGAAAAGAGATCAGAGACTCTATCCACTCTCATAAAATCCAAAAAGGTGAAGCAGTGTGAAAGACACTCGGCCTCCTAAATCCTTCTCCTTCGAATCAACCGCTTGCTGCATCGATCATCCTCTTCACCGAATAATTTTTTTTTTTAAAGGTTAGATTTTAGGCTACTTACAGATCAAACTAAACAAATTGCTATTTTCACCTTTTTACCTTACATTTTAAATTATATTGAATTCTGCTCTATAAATTGTTTGAGTGTAAGGGCTGCAGGGTTGGCTCTGCAGTGAATGACTTTTTTTTTTTTTTTTAAGTAGAGATCAGAGACAGCTATATTTAAATTATAAATTCGTGAGAAAACAATAAAGAAAAAATCGCAGTTAAATCTCAAAACATTAAATTGCTAATGACAATTATATAGATTTTTTTAAAAAAAATGAGATACAAAATGCTGATGTGCAATCTGATAGGTACAAGAAGGGATTTTAGTTATAATACAAGATTTGATAGTTAAATATCATTAGGGGAGACATGAGGTTAGTAAATAATTGATAGATTGAGAGGAGAAGAGTGACGGAGAGAGGAACAGTGAAAGGGAAAGTGAAAGTAGAAGGAGATATGGGTGATCTTAAGAAAGATAGGATCATGATCGGATTGGGGGCATGATTCAGCGAATGTGGGTTGGAGTTGAGTTGAGATATTACATAACATGTCATCGTCACTCATGACTAGGACCCCACTCTGCAACTTGCAGCTCTTTCCACCACAACTTTCTCACCTCTTCCTACTTCTTTCTCCTTTTTTTTTTCTTTTCTTTTTTTTTTAAAAATCCCTCCTCCACGTATTTAACCCCGTCTCTGGCATACTTGAAATGACAAAAATGGGAGCTTTCTTTTTCAAAGCATTAAGAGATGATGACTTTATATATAGGATGCATGGAATGATCAAAGAACATATATACACAAGCTTCAACGTCAAAGCCATCAATGTTACTATTCTTATGTAATTTTGGGATCTAAGGGAATAGATTTCTCTCATGAACTTTGATTCCATTATATATTTATTCACACATACCCACTTATTACCAAAATTATTTGACGGATATGTTTATTATTTTCAAATAACCACCAAATGTGTATATAATTGACGGTTATTTGAAGTATTGTCTCACAGAAACTGCAAAGAGTCACGCGTGATAACTCATATTTGATGGATTTTTTTAATGATAACTGTTGAGCAAGGAGTCCTTCTATATATAACACTTCTCAAAACATGATTCCACTTCCTTCAATGACTGCTTTTAAAAGCTTACTTTATAGGATGGCTATTGAAGAAGTTCAAAATTGGAAATACCACGTGATTATTATTAATTTTCTCTTTTGGTCCTGAGCCGAAAAGACAATTTCAGCAGATTAGATTTAGATCTACTAATGCTCCCATTCACAAGTAGAATGAAGAATCTAGATAACCAACGAATTGAGTTTTTCATTACAACTGCGAAGTTTTCAGACTCAACTTTAATTTAATATATATTTTAAATTAGTTAAACTTTTTTTACTCTATTAATAGGTTTAAAATATTAAATACTTGAATTTAATCAGGTGATTTAGATAGAGAGAACAGAGAAGCTGCCAGAAATCATTATTAGAGACGTAGTTTTTTCTTTTTTAATTTGACGAGTCTGATCTGCTTTCGTTCTTTTAGATGTAGAATTAAAATTTAAATCAGAAATTATTCTAAGTCCGAGGCGTCTCATGTCTGTTTCAGTGAGTCCACATATTAGATACAGGCCTAAAAGCACTTGCCATGTACAGGCCCGACTAGGCTCCCCAAATCAAATATGTGATCTAGAGAGAATAAACTGGACTCAAAATCAAAGAGCCATAGCACTTGTCTTTTGGTGAGCCCAAACATTGATGTGGGCCTACGTTTAATTTCTTTACTACAAGGCCCAATGAGCCTCAACCTCAAACAGTTTATGTAGTATGGCCCATACTGCATGGGCCTATTCTTCTTGTCATTTTTATTGTTTTCAGCAAGGCAGCCCCCGAATAAAAACGTGGTGCTGAGTCAAACAATTCTGGCGCCAATATCGCTTTTATCTTGGACTTTGATGTACCATTCAAAGCCCTTGATCGTGGACTATTACAATTTCTTTTATATATATATATATATATATATATATTCATTATTTATTGACATAATTCGGGTAGAATGACATTATGATAAAGCTAATAAGTATTTAACACAATTACATACTCAAAATTTAAAGTTGAAATTATTGATTGAGCCAGCATAACTCCTTACTAGTTAAATTATGTAATTATGTGCTCATTAGTGAATTATTACAATTTTTCATTTATCTTTTGTTTTAACATCATTACAATTTCTCCTTTATTATTTATTGTTCACTTGAACAAATAAGATCAATAGAATTGGGCCTTTTCTGTTAGAAAAAATAAATGCTTATTTGAATCGTGTTGTGCCTAAGAAAAATAACAAAAATGGACAACTATTAACAGGGTTAAATCCAACATAAAAATTTAATATTTTAAAATATGATGAATTAAAGTTTGAATTTTTATTAACAAAGCGATTATATTTAATACTCATCGGTGACTTGCGACATCTGTATTCATTTTTTTTTTGAAAAAAAAAGGACTAAACTCATTCCGTCATTTTCCCAACTACTCAACAACCCCTCAACTTTCAAGTTTCAATTTCAACCATCCTTTTCACTTTTCTAATTTTTAACTCCAATTTTTTATTCTGGAAAAGATTTTAACTCGAAATTCAATATCAGCATTTATATACTAGAAATTTTACATGATACGATTTTTAAAATCATAATTTTATTTATTCTTATATTAAATAGTATTAAAAAAATTCCACACATTCATTATTATTTTTCAAAAATATCAATTTTCATAATGCTTAATTTGATATTATAATTTGAACTCATCCTTTTTAAAATTTTTAAGCTAAAATATACGAAATTTGAGTAATTTATTTTCTTAATTTCAATAATTAATCCCCCTGGACTTTGCGAGAACGATCTCTGAATCAAGATGTTTGGTCAATTCCTTAATTAATAATTCAATTTAGACTTTTAGTTGTTTTCATCCAAGAGTGAGCATTCTTCCCACAAAAGAAGAAAATTAAACATGCAAAATATAAACTAATATGATTTAAATTAAATAATGAACCGAAATGCGTTGTCTAGTTTTTAACCATTCTACGCTGACCGTTCCTCCTAACCCGAGTTGGGCCCACATTAACCATGGTTAACTCAATTTGTTTTCTTCCTGCCCCGCCATCCCACCTTCCTCTATATAAACCTTCGGCCGCGGGTAGAGCAACAAATCCAAATCACGGGGCAAATTTTCTTCGTGCGAAAGTTGAAACCAATAAGCGGTGATGGGGTTTTACCTGGATGAGGAAGAGGTCTGGAAGTGTCCCAAGCATCCATCGAAACGACGCCGTACAGGAATTTGCCCCACCTGCCTTCGCGACCGCCTCGCTACTCTCTGCCCTGACTGCGCCCACGTCCGGCCATGTTCCTGCTCCGCCGCCGCTACCTCCTCCTCTCCCTCCTTCTCCGCCTTTGCTTCCGTTTCTCGATCCTCCCTCGCAGGTGACGTCGCCGGAGGACTGAAAAGATCACGGTCCGTTGCGATTCCGTTTCTCCGTTCGAGGTCGAGGTTCCCCGCGGGAGACGGAGAGTTGGATTGTGACGGCGCCGCGGTGAAAGATGTTCCCGGTCTGACCAGAAGCCGGTCGACGAGGTGGTTTTGGTCGATGTTCAAGCCACCGAAGAGCAATCGGAACGGAGTGCCAGAGCAGAATTGTCAGAGTGTCGTGGGGGAAGACGATGAGAAGAGTGTGGACGGAAAAATGGCAACACTGATGAAGTCGAGGTCGGTGGCAGTTTCCGGCGGCGTTGGAGAAATCAGAGGAGCGAGGAAGAGAAGGGGATGGAACTTTCCGAGTCCAATGAAGGCTTTCAGGCAATCCAATAGGAGCTCTAAAATCCTTCAGGAAGCTGTGGCTTGTGCATAGAGGCGAAAATCTGTAGATAAAAATAAAATGCTTGTTATATGAAATGAGTACTGCTGACTAATATTGTATGGTATCGAAGATTAAGTGCATAGCTCCTAACCCCTAACTCCAATTCTGAGGCCTGATAAATCTCAGAGTGGTGCATCAATTGTGTTGGCAGGGAAAACAGAAAAAGAGGATGCAGTATTGCAGTATAACATGTTCTCCTCGCGTTTCATTTCATTTGAGAGAAAGTTAGTTAAATTACATATACTGTTTCAATTAAGCAACTCTATATTAATGTTTTGTCTCATGAGTGAAAACTCTAATTTTATCAGGAGTCATTTTAAAAATTCATAGTAAATGTTTATTGAAATGTAAATTTTTATTTAGAAAAAAAAAAACAAAAAATACCATCAAACTGTTTCTTTTATACGTTTAGGAAGGGAGGTATGCAGTGTTGGTGGGGGTATATGATTAGAGTGCGAATGTTTCAGTTGGCAAAACTTAACTGCCTTACTCATTTTGATTGGTACATTTGGTTCATTCGGCCCCACCCACCACGCCTTTTGCCCCCCAGAGTAACCACTTCCTCTGTTTCGTGCCTTTTCATTTCCGTCAATCAATGTGCGGATATATCAGCATTCAGCAATTCGTGGGTGAGGCTCTCAATCTCATCAATCGTAAGAGTAGCATCCATTATCCTTTCCATGATATTATAAATGAGATAAATATGAGGTTATGTAGAGACTGATATGTGATTATTAGTTTTATATTTAAGAAGGTTAATTTCTATGCTCACTCCTTAGATAATTATATTGAGGGTCACTAAAGTGTTAGGATTATTTTTTATTGACCCCGAAACAAAATCCTCTCTTGATCCTACTTTGTTTGAGATTCTCCACTTCATTTCTATTTAAAAAGAAACAAAAAAAAGCAATGCATGGTTAAACACACACTCCTTCCATGTAATTAAAAATACATTTTCCTTGTCAAAATATAAAATATTAGTAATTAATTCATAATTTTTAAAAAATGTTAATTGAAGCTTAAAAAATTAACATGTTTTTAATTATTCCCACATTAAACATCTTATATAAGTATCTTGATAATAATAATTAAAGTTTCAACTCATTTTTTAATAATAAATGAAATAGGGTTATAATTGAAAAGGTAGTTATAAAAATTATTCAGTGTCTTATATTTTAAACTAAATATAACTCTTAAAAAGATGTCTTCTATTGTGGTTTAAGGAGATTATATTTTTTTTACCAACCAATGTTTAGGGGTGTTTATACTCTTCTTCCCTTCTCGATCAACCTAATTACGTCCCACTCATGAAAAGACTAGTCTTTACCAACTTGAAAATAAATGGGATGGGTATTTGCAACATGGGATAAAAAAAGGTTTGGAATAATACAGAACTACAACCTGAAGATGTATTCTTCCATCCCATCCTAAATATAATAAGAAAAATTATAATTAAATTTTATACAAAGAAATTAATTACTATAAAATTTATTAACAATTAAATTAAATTTCATTGACAATTGATTGTGTTGTTAATGTAGTTTAGTTCAATTGTTAATAAAACTTATAGTAATTTATTTCCTTGTGTAAAACTTCAATATAATTCTTCCAATATAATTTACATTTTTTATTTTTTATTTTTAACAATATAAATTCATTCGGGTAAATACTTTGAATTTAAATATTTTAAAATTGTCCTCATTTTTTTAAAAAATGGAAATTAAATAACATAGAATTATTTTTTATTTTTTTAAAAATTATATTTAACTATTATAAATTATTTTTAGTTATGGTCAACCATTATTATAGTATAGGCTATTTTCATTAATCATAGGTGATGATTATTATTTGTATTTTTTAACTCTAAACTTATTTTCAAATTAATATAATTAGATAAATTTTCATTTTGTTTTTTTAAATTTAAAAAATGAATTTACAAACAATGTTTATAAATAAAAGATAGAACAAAATCAAATAAGTCCTAAACTTACAATAATTAAAAAATTGATTTCCTTTTGCTGAGATGTTAATGGATCTATTAGTATTTAAATATGATATATGGGACACACATGTAATTCTCCCATTTTGAGTATAACTTACAAGGGCTATCATATATTCATACATACATAAATATATATGTATATATACATATATTTGGCACGTCGAAAATAACTTGCAGCTCCAACAGCCATAGCCCTGTAGTGTGACCAGAGATAATTGTAGATATTTTTTGTGGCATGCTCCCCAAATATCTACTTGAATTGTCATTATTGAAAAGAAAAAGGATTTGCCAACTCTTTCGAACCCTCCACGGGGCAAATTATTTACAAGGCATTATATTGTCTGGAAAGAAAAGGATGCTGCTTAACAAAACTCATTAGAAAACAAGTGTATGAAAATGATATTCGCCTTCCCCCTTTCCTTTCACGCATAATGATATTATGAGTTGGTTCGAATAATTAATTATACGAGTCAGATTTGATTGAAGAAATAAAAAAAATGAGTTTCTTCTAGTCCGAACTATACAATTCACAAATCATATGGGTTAGCACAAGCTTGTTTCACCCATATTATTTTAAAAGTAAAAAAAAAGGAAAAAATGAGAAAATTTTCTGAATATAAACCATATAAAACATGATTTATTTAGTTGATTTAGTTCATATATTTTGCATAAACATTATGACTGTGGCGGAGCCACATTGTAGCGAGCATGGGTGGAGCTACATTTAGTTGATCCCCCTCAACTTGAAAAAAAATGATATGTATGGAGCATATCTAAAATTCATTTTTTTAACTTAAAGCCCATTGAATATTAGCATGCAATTTCATAAATACCAATATTATTTATATATCCTTTAAAAAATACAAAAAAGTTAATCTGATTAAATTAGAGCCATGTCATCCTCATCCAAATACTAGTGAAGGACTAATAAAATAAGACAATGAATAATGAAGATTCAAAACTCAAGAATAAACTCGTTGAATGTCTTTCGCTGGCTCGCTGCATTTGCAATGTTAAATTATGAAACAAATAAAACAAAAAAAGGAAAGAAAAATAGTAGATTTGAAAGATAGAAAAATTTTTCTTATGCTCAGGATCTTGACTTCGTCATTGACTCCCAACACAAGATCCTTGCTCTGTCACTAGTATTGAGGGTGGATAAATGTACTCCCTCACTCTGAAAAAAATTACAAATAGAGTATGTAAATTTCATAACTTTTCACCCTCTATTCTTGATATTCTATACATTTTGAATTACTGAAAGAATATTAAAAAACAAAGAGAAATATTAAAAAATCATCATTAATAAAAATTTATTTTTATCAAAATATTTTATTTTTTGGGACGTCAAATGTCCTCTAAAAAAATCTTATAATTTGTGACAAAGAGAGTATTATATAGGTGTTGCATGTTTGTTGCTTCTAAATTTAATCAAAGTTTTGTCGTATATGTGTGCATGTGTATTAATATCGGCCTCTGTAATCTCAAATACTCATTTGGCTTCTAACGATGAGTGCATGTGTATTTCTCACTTCCCATATCAAATATGCAACAAACAAGCAGCTCTCCAACCCATCAAAAAGGTGGACAAAAAGCGATGGCTAATTTTCTTTTCTTTGTGCAATAAATATAGATTGGGTATATCTTGCAGTATCGACTTGAAATAAATTAAACCGTCTACGTAATCTATATCAACAGGAAATGGGATTTCCTGATTACTAAAAGAATTTTGATTTATCCATCGCATGAAGAACTAGATAGTGTCCCTTGCAGCATAGAAAATAACTTAAAAATTTCGTAAACTTTGTATTAAATTTTTATATTTATTTTGGCAACACCACGGAAACGAATTTTTCTTTTTGGCACACATAGTTAAGTTCTGTTACTCTTTTGGATTTATAATGGAAAAGAAGTTTATCACGTGTCATTTTAACATACTCCTTGCATCGTGCCTCTAGTTTTACATGACATATAAGCAAGGCAGGGCGTTGCTTCGGATAAAAAAGAAAGGCAGCGGGTTGCTTTGAATTTGATCATTTGTTCACCACTGTATGTTCACTTGGCTTTCATGTGACGCAAGTTGAAATGTCGAAATTACGTTCAAACCCTTCCATACTTAAAAGTAACATCCTCTGCCCAGCAGCGCGTTATATTTACATATGTAGTTCAATTTAATTTTTTTTCACACACATGCATATACACGGTTTAATTTTATCACAGAGACATTCCTCTCCAATTATGTTGTTGAAGTTTTTATTTGAATATTTTCTATTTTTTCAAATTACTTACAAGTATCCTCATATTAAAGATAATTTTGTTTAAAATATGGTCGAGCATTATATATGAGCATCTCTCATAATAGAAATTTTCATTTAAATATTTTTATCTATTACTATTAATATATGAACCAACGGGTTTTTATATTAATATATGCTAGTGCCTATACCAATTAAATATATACAAGAGATAACATGAGTGACTAAATATTAATTTATTAAACGGGGATTGAGGTTGGTGGTGGTGGGGGTTGCTTTAAAAAAATTTTATTCTAAAGTTTTTTCCCTTTCAATTTTGAATACCAATAACAAAAAAAAAACATTGAAAATAATTTATGTAAGTTTCAGAATAAGATTTGCCAGATCTGATACGGTCAATTCATTTATTGTTGTTTACGTGTAACTTTGACGATGATGTTTGGTTTGAATTTTGACGTCTCCTTCAACTTTATACAACTACACATATTCCATCGCTCGGAATTTGCTAAACTCAATTACATGATCTCTATTTTAATTTCTCTTTTTGAGAAAAAAAGAAAAGAAAAGAAAGCGATGGAGAAGAGTATCTTGCTTGATCAAGTATGTGCTCATATTCACACGAGAAAGTCAAAATGTACCGCCGCAATACAACTATCATTCAAATATATGGATCTTGCTTTATATATATATATATATATATATATATATTCTCTCCACACAGTTTCAATCATAGAAATGGAAGCACTTCGACAAAGTCAAAATGTTAACACCACAATGCCGCCATAATCAACGTATGATCTTGCTTTACACACACACACACACTTTTCTTTTCCTTATTTTTCCTTCTTTTTGGGCGCAGTTTCAATCATAAAATGCAAAGCTCTTGACCTGAGACTGAGAGGCCGAGTTGGTTTGTTTTGCCTTGTGTGTGCAAGACCGTGTGTGTTGATTGCGTGATGGTCTGATTCATTAATACTAGTTCAGCTTAAAGTGTTGTTTGTCTCATCATCAGTTATATATTATGCTTATTTTATGGATTTTTTTTACTTC